CTTATCTGAAGGTTTCTGAGTCAAAATGCGGACTTATCTGTAGGCGGAATAATCTTATGGGAGGACTTATCTGTGAGATTTTGGTACTGATTTTGAACAGAATTTCGTCCAGATAATTCGATCGTAGTGAAAGTCTCGTTCATCTACTTGAGCGATTATTCGACTGCATAAAATTTGGTGCAAACATTGAAATTTGGTGAAAGTTTGATCAATCGACAACAGAACTAGTTATCCAAGTTTCAACTAACGCTCAATGATTATAGGAAGATCAAAATCATTGTAAACTAGTGGCAACACTGGACATTTCAGACTTTAAACTAAAAAATTGAATTAACTCTTGTTCAATGTTATGTTTGAAATTCCATCAAAAATATGTTATTTTATTTTCAAAGCAATACCACTTCGAAGCTTTCTGACGGATATTCCCACCGACATATAATACCATTACCAGAAGAATGGGAGAAAAATGTCGTGACGTGGTAAAAATGACGGTGACATGCTCCTTTTTAGGAAGTTCGTGAAGAGCAGGAAATATTTATAAGCAGAATGTATGGTCTATAGAAAAAATACACGGCACTTACCTGGCATTGTCATCTTCCTTCTTCGATGTGCTGGGTTTTTCAGCAGAAGGCTGAGCGGATGCACTCTGGGATTTCTTGTCCTCCTTCACATCTTCTTCCATAACTCGGAAGAGATTGTATTTCTTAAAAGGGTTATAAGAGGTTTTGCTGACTTTACCTAGAAGTAGAAGACTAAGAGCTGTCTGTCACATGCTCAGCTGAGGAAAAAAGAGGCAAATAAGAAAGTGCATGACCGTTGGTCGCTGATCACAAACCAGCTGGAATGACAATTTCTACCTACGCAAAGTCGGGCGACGCTTCAGCGCAAGCGCCCGTTTCGTCCTGACCAATAATCGTATTTTCCATCATCCATTCCGTAGATGACGTCAGTTGAATTCCGAATCAGAGGCTGTTTTGATCGTTTTTGTTATGCTTTCAGGATCTCATGGAACCTGATTGCTAGTGATTACGATCTCTCTATCATGCTTCTCCTAATTTGTTGGCTTCTTCATTCATATCATTGCATGAAAATCACGGCGAAGAGTAAAAGGTGTTCGGTTTTGAAAGGTCTGTTCGCAACGGTACAAATGCCGCAGCTCCACCATACAAATCTTGCAGTTGAATTGTACATCAAACAAATGCACATGAAACTTGAGAGCATCATTGCGTGGGAAAGCAAATGTAAGGTTCAGTGTTTTGAGCCTTTGTTCAGTTATTCCCTGACCCAGCAAATCCTTATATTCAACATCTATGGGTCAAAAATGGGCGAGTCAATTTTTTGATTAGTTTCTGCCACTACAATTAGTATATTTTTGGTATGATCCAAAACCATTGGGACAAACTTGTCAACGCATGTGCTTTCTAGTACCCCAACCTAACTTTCCACCTTTCTGGCGATGGGAAAACGTTCAAATTCTACAGTACGACATGCGCCATACTTGATCCACTCAATCAACTTGATCCGCTTCATCATTGGTTTATTCAGTAAACTGACCAATGGCGCTTGAAACGGATGCAGATCAAGTGGACAACCGCTTCGCTATTGGTCAGTTGTGCACTTGATGTGCATCCGTTTCAAGCACTTCATTATTGGTCAGTTTACCGTATTGACCAATGACGAAGCGGTCAAGTCGATTAAGCGGATCAAGTATGGCGCGTGCCTAACCGGATCCAGAATTTAACGCCATGTGCATTTGCGTGTAATCGCACACATATAGGCTGGGCGCAACTCTGGATGTGTATATGAAGGTGTAGATGCTATTTTATGGAGCCGAAATAGTCAAGAATCATTTATGAGAAAAAATTTTCTTATATGAGGATTTGTTACATTGCTTAACTTAATGTACGAAATATCACAGATTGTTGATGCGAACCTCGCATCTCTCCGACAAATTTATTGAGTTACACCTGAAACATCATGAGTAATCTTTTGCCAACAAGAATTTTGATTTCGAATACCTGCTGTCAACGTGGGCTGCGGAATTAATTTTCGCACTGAGCAAGAGAGGGCTGTTTGCGTTTTTTCAGCGTCATCTTTTGACACCGAGACCTTTGCAAACCAAGACTTTCATCATTATCGTGGTGATTTTTCAGTTTCAATCTCCCCAGAACCATCAAAGCCGAGTATGTCGTATATGGCCCTGTGTGTACATCTCTTTATCAGAAGTTTATTGAAAAAGCAGTTTCTTTTTCGATTTCGGCTTTGTTTGCTGATCTGTAATGCCATCTTATAAGACGCGACTTCCAGAACTACGGGTTGTTTCAGCTATGGGTAACAGAGACGAGAACGTTGTGCTCGCACATCGAGATGAATTTGGTGGTGTAGTATTGCAGCATGACGTCGGTCCCGAGGTGAATTTATTCTGTTGATGCACTCACTTATTGCTAATTATTCTTTTTACGAGCTTATTTTCATTGTTTCTATACTACAGATGAGGAGGACTTTGAGCGAACAAGAAGAGTGGGCAATCGAACATGCAAAGTTGCACGAAAAACATAAAGGACATGAGCAAATGCATCTGGAGATGATGCTAATACTTATTGTGACCCTTGTAGTCGCTCAAGTTTTCCTTGTGCAGTGGAAGAAGAGGCATTTCAAATCTTACCAAGTTTGTTTGTACGACTTTCCTTTTTCTTTCTTGGATCATCTTCCATTTGTATCAACTGTGTTATTTTAGCTGTGTACGTTATTGGGAATGTGGCTAATACCCGTGTACGTATGTCTATCTCGTAGTTGGTACAGATTCCTCGTAACTTGGTTAATTTACACCATATGCTCAACTTGGATATGGCGGAAATCCACTGAGGATCACATAAGCGGAACAACTCCAAGGTAATACAGTTTTGCTTTAGTTGTTTTGCTGATGGCTTGTCGTACTTTTTTCGTCTTTTTGTCTTTTTTCTTTTCATTCGTTGTCATGGGGCAAATCTCATGCTGAAACAGGTCACAATGCTAGCAGTATAACTTATGCAGTTTACCAACAAAACTTATGGATAGCAAGGATTGGCTGGATTACCTTGACCTCTGGTCCGCTCTCTTGGGTTGCCCTCATTCAAGGCAATGTCCGGGCAAAAAGTCGATTCTGAGATTTTATGCTTAAACGAGCCTTTTAGCTATGGTGAATCCGAATATCCACACTGGAGAGCACGAATGCGGCGG